TTGCCAGCCCGCTCAGAGATGTGTATAAGAGACAGCTATTGTGCAGTTTGTGAGGGTCCCTTGTAAGATTGCTAGTATTTTGTATTTTATAATATATTTTAAATATTTAATGATGTATTTTGCCCAGCTCTGCCTACACGCGCATATAACATTTTAACATTTCACTGCGCTCTTCTGCGTGCAAAACTCGTGGACTGCGTACAGTTTATTACACTTAGGATGACTCGTACATTTTCATCCTCGTAATTTCAAAACTTTGCTCTCCCGCGAACTATCGCGCGGCCCGCGAAAGTTGCAGTCCCCCTTTTCCCGGGGTTCAGGGGTTACGTCACGCATCGCGTAAGTCGTGCTCGTTATATACACACGCAGGTACACATGCAGCATGCAACTCGAGATAAAGCAGCGGGAGAAGATGAAGAGGCGGCGGGCGTTGCAGCTGACGCTCTTCCTGAAGGTCAGCCTGATCGTCGGCCTGGTGGCCGGCTGCGGGGTGGTGTCCAGGGTCTGGAAAATTGGCTTCCTATGGGCGGTTTTCTGCACGGGCCATTCCCTCCAGGTATGTGTAGGTGGAAAGATATGCGGCGCGCAAAAAGTTGCACACAGACCATTTCCCGTTAGGTGGGTATACGTATAGGCGAGATACGCGCGGTGCAAAAAAAGGGCGAAGGGATCGGAGGCGGAAGATTCACCGAGGTGCCATTTCTCTCCCGGTTCTACTTTCCTAACGATGCACACCGCATAGATACACGATCAGCAATATTTCCGTCGCAATTTCGATGGATTATGGCAGCAGCGCGTACGAGCGCGCGTTAGCGGCTGACGTTGAAAGATGAGAAATCACTAACTCCCCCGGCGAATTATATCGTATATTTTGTCAGCGCGCGCGTCCGATTTCTATGAGTTCAAAAATTTATGAACATATTTTTGAATATAGTCGAACCTTGATAACTCGAACCTCTACATGCTCTGTAAAAGATCCGATAGAATTAGATAAGAAGAAACCTATATGAAATTTTATCGTGTTTTTGATTCGTAAATATCAGATTTATCTTTTTTTTTTACTTATTTATTATATATATTTTATTTATTATATTATATTTAATATATAATTTAAAAGACATTTTAAGTAATGTTTATCTTTGACCATATTTATAGTCAAAATTGATATTATCATACAATGTTTTTGTACAGTTTATGCATGATTTATTATGTAATATTTTAATATTAGGGATTTTGTGTCGTTTATATGTATATAAATAATTTTAATATTTCTTACAAATATAATAAAATATGTAACAAATCATAATTTTCTCTCAGTTTGAATTAGATAACTTGATAATAATTATATAATAAAAACATACACGTTCAAATTTGTATTTAAGAGTAAGGGAAGGAGGGGCAAATAGTGACAGATTTTTTCCTCTCTCCCCTACGAGCTAATTTCAAGTTTACAAGATATGATTTTTCACTAAAAGAGTACTTTCCACTTTCAAATATACTAAAAACTTAATTAGAGTTTCCATAAGTCATGTATACGTGCTAGATTTTCATAAAAACTGAAACCTACATTTGTCACTATTTGTCCCACCCTATAGGACAATTACAAAATACATAATTCTTAACTCCTAATCGATCTTTCTTTTGACATTTTGATTAGATAAGGTAATTTATATTAATTTCTATGCTCTGCCATATGTAAATTTTTATTTATTAATAAATAATAGTAGTAACTTTATTTGCTAGTATTTCTTATTGAAAATAAAATTTATTCTGGATCTTGCCTTGTAACTAATCTCATATTATCCCAAATGAATGAGAAAAATCATATTTAAATATTAAAAAAGCTTTTTGACTTGTCAAAAGTTATTTATCCAACTAAAAATTGTCATTATTTGCTCCAGGAGCTACTTTTTCCTTTAAAACTTTACTGAGAGAAATAAAATTAATATACAAGCATAGGAATTATATCAAAATAGAGGAAAAAAATACTATATGACATAGAATAAGTTAGATCTCATTTCAACGATTTAGCAATTAAGAAAATATAATTTCAAATATCAAAAAAAGATCCAGGTTTTACCTCATTTTACAAATGCAAAATTTTAAACTTCTCCGCTAGCTATAATTGGCTTTTGATTTTCACGGCTTTTTCAGAAGATAATTAAATGCTTGAGAACTGTTTTTCTATTAACGAGTAGTGGTAAAATAGACCCAGGAAAAAGGAAAAATTTAAAATAACACTATTTGCCGCCTGTCACTATTTGTCCCTCCCTCCTTCCCTTATTTAATGTTTAAGTAAGATATACTATTAAAAAAAAGATAGAAATAGATATTAACAGCTCAAATGTGAGTCCGATAGAAACGATAATTTTACTACAAAATTAGATAAAATTTCAATAAAGTTTAAATCTATTTCTATCATTATCTATCGGATCTTTTAAGCAGGGCAATTCGAAAACCTTTATAACACGAAAATTTTGTTTATTCCCTTCCGCTCCACTGCGGAAAACCTCTATAAATCGAAATGAAACTTACCTTAACTTGAATTATTTGTCTTGGTATTTAGATGGATTATTTGTATCTCTGCAACTCGAATTTAAAGTTGCCAGACCTCTACAAGTCGAAGTTCACCTCTATAAGTCGAACTTCTATTGTCGCTGCTTATATAATTCGAAGTTGTTGCTATGTGTAACCAGGGTTGGGAAAGTTACTTTGTAAAAGTAACTAATTACAGTTACAGTTTTTGTCTCTCAAAAAGTAACTAGTTACCGTTACAAGTTACCAACTCTGAAAAGTAACATGTTACAGTTACTCAAAAAGTAACAAATTGTTATACTTTTCAGTTACTTTTAATA